AGATAAGGCAAATGAGTGACACTTATAGCCCTGCTGGTTACTGTGCTTTTAACATTTACAACAAACCAGTTGACACACAGTTTATCTAATGTATATTTTGGGTGCCCATAAAGCTGCTCAAGTGGCAGAAGACATTGATGCTGAAATCATTAATAGCTATGATGATGGTCAGGCAAATGAAATCATTTATTTTTCATTACACTCATATCTAGGTTCAAACAAACCTCCTCCTCCGAATTGCAAAACATCATATAAAGCCAAACAAAGTCCTGTCAAGGTATGATAAATAAAACCTTTAACCTATTCTTGTATGACGTTAGCAGTGCAGGAGGAAGCAGGCTGTTACTCTTACTCTACACTCTTACTGTCTCATTGTTATTTAAAAGTAGACATCTGTATTGATGTAAAAGCAGGGTTTTACTGTCGTAGTTAAACGAAACCCGCCGCTGCTGCGTCTGTAAAGCCGGTGTGTCCTTGGGCAAGACACTTCACCTGAACTTGCTCCTGTGGGTATTGTCCACAGTATCTGACCATTGCATGTATGTGTAATGTGTGTATATGTAAAGCGCTTTGAGTCATTGAAAAAGCGCTATAATAAATGTAAGGAATTGTAGTTAGTTGAGGTGGAGCTAATTTAGGAATATTTGGTATTAAATGGTAACTTTTATTATTGTGTCAGCTGTGCAAAGAAAGTTGTACAATAAGGACATAACGAAGTAAACTATGCCTACAAGTACCTAACTGTAATAGGCTAATTAGCAATGGGGTTAAGTAACTAAGTAGATTTACTCAAGTACTGTACTTAAGTAAAATGTAGAGATGCTTGTACTTAAACTTGAGTATTTCCATGTCATGCTACAATGTACTTCTACTCCAATACAAATCAGAGGTAAATCGTGTACTTGTACTCACATTTATTAAATATCTTTAGTTACTTTATAGATTCGGATTAACGATTTGAAATGTTATCAACACTTAAATCAGTTTTCTGATCTTTAGTTACACCTAGAGTAAATTCACAAGCTACCCTGCAGTATACAAAGTCATTCAAACTAGCTGCACCTTCACCAGCTTTGAGAACACTTTAATGCATCAATAATTATAATCAAAACATATCATATTATTCAGAAATGGACCAATCTGCATGAGTACTTTTGGTATATTTTGATGCTAATACTTGTGTACTTTGACATGAGTAACATTTTGAATGCAGGACTTTTACTTGTAACAGAGTATTCATACACTCTGGTACTTCTACTTTTACTCAAATAGGCCTACACGATCTGAGTACTTTTTCCACCTCTGCTAACAAGTTACATTCCACCACTGCACGATACAGACATACACTATATGATATACATAACACTGTTACTACCTAACTAACCGTGCTGCTCTCAGTTCCACAATTCAATGGATTAAGTAAATAAAAGGTATAATAAACTAACTACACCGGCTTTGTTTGAACTGATGGCTTTCCCAGCAGCAGACCGTGCAACTGGTTGAGTAACTTATATGTAACAGACACGCGCTTTCACTCCGAAAATCAGTTATTAAAGATCGACCACTTACTTCTGAGGGCAGACACCAGCATGTTTCCATCTTTGATGAGGTCTTTTATAAACCTGTTGGTCCTCTCCAGCTCTATCTCATGGCACTGCAGCCGCTCTCTGAACTCCGGACTGTCCAGGAAAGAGTCGCTAAACTCCAGCGTTGGCAGACCCATTGATAGACAAATGCACAAAGCTAATTATTAAAAGGAACTAATGTTAAACGCGCAAACGCTCTCCCATGTAGAGTTACAAAAGTAAACCGTGTTTTAAGGGGCTTGGAGAAGTTGAATTGGTCCGAAGTTTCTTCCAGCTGCTTTTTTCATGCCTTTCTTACTTTTTTCCCTCAGAACTTCCGGACACTAACCGCAGCAGTCTGTGACACTGAGTTCGGCTAAGCTATCCGACGAACTCTACGCTGCAGCTTTTCTCGCATTTTAGAATCAATATGAGAAAATAAAACTTCGAAGGGACTTCTTAAAGATCTCTAGTGGATACAGAAAGCACCACCCCGTCGCCAAAACAAAGCAGAAGAGCTAAAAGTTGGATGTATTTGAAGCGGTCTGCAAAAGTCTGTGCTACTAACTCCGTCTACTTACGGCTCTAAATGAAGGCTTGTTACTATGGGAACGGGAGACTCCTGCTGGCGTCTGCTGAAATCAGTGCAAAGTCTAATAAACTAATAGTAATACAAAAGATTAATAATAATAATATCTTAATTAATCGATTCCGTGGGTTATACGTTTCTTCTGTTCTACTGAAGTGGCAGAACAGAAGAAATTGATTATTTTTTAAATCATTTAAAAAGTTTTACGTCACAGAAGTAATTAAGATAAATGGTCAATTTGTGATTCAACCTCCCATATTTAACTTCATGTCGTCAGTTGTTTCCATCTTACATTACAGTAGCTTAATTTGGAGCATGTCCAAATATCCCAAATATTTAGGAAAATAATTACAAAGATATGACAAGTGTGATAATACAATAATACAAATATCAAAACAAAATACAAAGAAAACATTTAGCAATCAAATGCAAGTTTAGATTGTTTTCATTTTGTTGTAAAATTGGGAATCTATTGTTGTTGTTTTTTAAAATCTTGTTAAGTGTTTTTTTATTTTGGGATTTAAATGGATACCTAAATGCTGAATAATATATAAGATATGAATCAAGCTGTTGTTGTACACAGTAGGATATCATTAAAAATAATTACTCTCACATAATCATAGCTCCATAAAAATGCACTGTGCTGTGTCTTACCTCCTCCAGCACACAACACACAGACAATAGTCCATCCAGTAGGCGGTATTATATTTAGAAGAAGTGACTTCCAAGTACCACAGAATACATCTGAATAAATTAGGTAACATTATTTATGTGCAAGTATACAGTTTCCTACTGAATAATCACAGGCTAAAACAGGCCCTCTAATGAAAGAAATATAGTTGGGGGCCTGCCAGCTGAACACTGGGAGGCACAGCACATTGCTGAGCGCCGGCCAAATGCTCCAGGGCAACCGCTGAAGAGACCTGTTTTCTTGTTTTGAGTGTCGAAAACACAACTGCGAATGCATTGTTTCATCATCATACTCGCTACTGTAAATCTAATTTGAGCTACTGATGCAAGACATGACGTTTAAGACACAAAACAAAGCACCCAGTTGAATAGCTCCCTACTTCAAAACTCTCAAAGCAGACCATGTTTAAGCTCTCTGTTTGTGGCGTTGCTGCTTTATTCTCTCAGTTGCTAACTACTGTATCTGTCACTCACTGGAGAATAATTGAACACCATGACTACTGCAGTAAAACAAGCTTTAAGAAGCCCTTTGTATAGCTGTACACACATACACACAGTACAGAGACAGGGAGAAACACTACAGAATTATATCACAGCTTGTATTGTTCTACATGTAAGGTAAGAAAGGCATTATATTGGTTGTTATTGATATTTTGAAGGAAACTAGGGATGGGAATATGAAGGATTCTATTGCATTAAGAAACACTCAAGTGGATTGTTGTGATTTATATTATTGATATTCTCGAGAATATCCTCACATGACTTGCATAAGTCCAGTTGTGGTCAATTTCACAGTGGTTGTTGTACCAAACAGCAACAAAGCAGCTGGTAGTGCAAAGAGCGGAACCAGGAGCCAAAACAGACAAGATGTTCATACAAAATGCCAACCTACAAAACGCCCGTCGCCAGCATGACTTCTTTCTGAGGAGTCCACCCTACAGGGGGGAGCCGCCTACAGTGGCAGGTAAAGGTTTTATTTGACCACATATTTCTGTTTTCATGAGACGCTGTTCAAAATATACTAGTTCAGGTTGAATAAGATATGGTGACTGGTGGCCTTAATACAAGAAAAAGAAAGCTGGAAGAAATGTTTGAGAAAATAGAAGATTGTGTAAGTATGTATTCTAAAATCATAATTGTTGCTATTTATAGTTCTGCTTCAATCTCAGGGCATTTTGTATGAAGCTTGGTTCTTAGGTTATAGTTATTTTTTACTGCTTACAAAGTAAACAGGCCTTAAGGAACCATAGCTGACATCACCATATTTAACAAGGATTGACTGGGCCTTCTCCAACTCAAACACTTAGATAAAAATACCTGATTGGAAGGATTTCAGCAAAGTAAAGTTAGTCCAGCGGTGATGTGTTGACTGGAATGACTCCAAATTAAGTTGTTAATAATAAAGGAATTTGAAAACAATCCCTAAATTTAACTTGTTTAAGTGTTTATTTATGTCCTATAGTTATTTCTCTGGATGTCTTGCCTTTTCCAGGATTTCTCCTCTACCCGGATACTCCCGCTAAGATGGAGACCACATCCCGAGAAGCTTTCCGCTCGAGAGCCATCTCACAACAAGACAGAGGCAAAGGTCTGAAATGTTACCTCTTTTAATCTGTTTATATATACAGTCTATGGTTTTAAGATAAACTGCGAGTGAGTTGAGCAGCCTGTGTGTAGACATACAGTATGAGTGTTTCAGTGCTGAAATGCCAGTGAGTTGTGTGTGGGTGTTTTTGGCTGTGTGTAGGAATGGGAACATTAGGAATGGGAGCTTTTCAAATCTTTCATTTGAAGGTTAATCAGTCATAAAGCTATACTAGTAAAATTCACAAGGTAGTTTTTAATACTTAAAATAAAATAATAGCCTGAATACACAATTTTCCTAACAAACTACTGGCTTAATAATGAGTGTGACCTTACTTTGGATCAACATGAAAATGGTATGAAGTCATAAGAGAAGACTTTCAGGTGGTACCACTCAATGAAGCTGTGAAAAGATAGTTATCCTAAATAAATAGAAATAATTAAGGACTAGAAATCAAATATAATAAGGATAAGCTTTTAGCCTAACTATAAGCCGTTACTCAGAAGGGGGGAAAGACTATAAGATTTCAGATATGTCGGCACTGGCAGTAACAATTAAAAGGAGTTTTACCCAAGATTATATATTTTTTATTGACAGAAAAAGGCATATTTCATGACTGTGTATGAAAAGAAACACATACCTATTTAATGATAACCTTTCAGGAAACAACAGCACCTCCAACACACAGCAGGTGTCCAACCGTTCTCTTCCCACATCCTCGAGACAAGCAGGAAGAAGAAGCAGCCGCAGGGACCGGGAAGCAGGGGAGGACGAGGAAGGCCATAACCCCGACGAGACAGCATGGACAAAGAAACAAGAAACGACATACATGCAGTCTCAGTATCAGAAGGATTTCCCTCCTCCGTCCTCCTGCCACAGGAGGCGAACACCTATCCTCCCACAGCCAGACAACATCGGCATCAACCCCGCCTTCAGGTGAGTTTGACGACATCACGGCATACTGTAGCTGAGGGAAGAGACCAGCTCATCACTGTCTGTGTGTTTGGGTTCACAGGATCGACTTCAGCACTGTGCAGAGAGAGGATTACCCTGGTTGGCCCATCATGAACCCCCAGAGGACTGGGAGGTCTCGTCAGGACAATCAAACGTGAAAAAATAAAAACAATTCAGTCTAATTCCATCAAATCGATAATGATGTTATAAACCAGTTAGAGAGTTGCCAGTTTTGTTGTATTTTTCGCTATTTATATTTTCATGTTTATACATTATCTTATTAAAACCAATTTGTCTGAATCTAACTCCTCAGTTTAAATATTGGAGTGTATATAAAGTCAGAGTTCCTCACCTTTACCACCTTTTTGTAAGCTCAATTACAAAGTTGTGCTTTTATAAATGCCTAAAGAAAACAAGCAGAATTTAAATTAGTGCGCTTTACGTTAGGTTGAAGCTATGGTTATTGCAACAGCTGGTTGCAACACTATCTGTAAAACATACAAAAACACATGTAATGGCTTCTTTCACTGAACAAAATGATATCCAATTAAACAATAGAGACTAAACGTATTACGTTTTGAGCTAGGAACAAGGAAAGCCATCTTGTTCAAAATGTTTTGGTTTATTTGATGTTGTTTAGCCGGTGTTGCACCAATGCTCATGCTTACAAAATATGATTCTCCAAAAATCTTCATCGGTAAAAACATAATTGGTAAATGGCAAAAGTATAAGAAAAGTTTGCATTTTGTCAGCTCAGCTGCAGATTCTGCTTTTAAAGTTTGTGTCATACTGTTAGGCCTCACATATGGTAAAACAAAAATGTATACTCATTGGGATTTACATTCCTATTTCTTTAAATAAGTTTAATTATTCCAGTGTGCTGCTCCAATTACACCAAGATAAAATCAAACACTCTGAAATATTCAAGAGTAACAGCTGAAAAGGGCAGCTCCCCCTCGATATAATATTAACATACACTGCAACCTGTTGAATATCAACCAGTATAATTGCCATTCAGACTAAACCAATGATACATCCAGAACGTCCTCTGTATTGTAACCAGACCCAGGTGTGCAACCCAACAGATCCTTCACTGCACACTTCCAATTCTTCTAGACAGGCAGCTGCTTTGGATCTAAACATCTGTCACAGACTTCCTGTGTATATATATATATATATTTAAATGTGGCCTTCATCTCCTGTCCCGGTGCCTACTCCTGTCCCTTTGGCTCCGGTCGTCCCTCTGGCTCCGGTCGTCCCTCTGGCTCCGGTCGTCCCTCTGGCTCCGGTCGTCCCTCTGGCTCCGGTCGTCCCTCTCTCTGCCTCTGTCTCGGTCATCTCTCCTCCCTTTGCTGCCCCACTCCGGCTCTCTGTGTCGCCCCCGGTCCTCCCTGTCTTTCTCCCCTTGTCTGTCCCACTCCCTCCCTCCCCCGCCTCCCTGGTCCTGCATAGCACCGAACCCCAGGTGGATGGGTTTACGGAAAGGCCTGTCCCTGCCACCGAACCGCAGCTGTCCGGACTCTTTCTTGCCTCCCTGCCCGCCCCCAAGCCGCCGGGGGACCCATCCCTTGAGGGTCCTTTCTTGCTCAAAATCCACAACCACTTCATTCTGGTCCACCACCAGCTTGTTGGCGTCCCGGCGGGCCCGGACCACAGACCGCTCCTCCTTGTACTCAATGAAGGCGTATCCTTTGGAGAAACCGGTAACGATGTCCCGAACCAGCCGGAGCCTCTGGATGTCTCCGTACTTTGAGAAGACTTGATGCAGCTTTTCCTCCGTCGTCTGGGGGTTCAGGCGGTACACAAACAGCGTAAGCAGTGGGTCTCCAACAACGCCTTTGTTGGGCTTGTATCTGGCGGTCATAGCCCTCCATACCGCCCGGTCATGGGGCTCCACGTCCGTGCCGTCGATGCTGCCAGCTTTCAGCGGGTCGTACACCTTCGCTATCGGACTCCAGTCAACCATCGTGGCGCAAAATTAAGATAACAATGTCTCTCTTTAAACACGAGTTTCAGCAGCAGTTTAGAGGTGGTTATTTCGCAACACTCATGTTATTAGATACAAACCCCATTGATACGGAGAACATTTCACCTGAGTCTGTGTGCATCGACAAAAACATTCCGTAGTGAAACGAGTTCTAGTCACCTTTTAAAAGGTTCCTACTTACTCGATTAAGGTTGAGATACTGTTTAAATAGTTGTTGTACTTTATTAAAAAACCTCACTGTCATTTATGTATCGTCATTACATAATACTGTAAGTTACAATACTTAAATATGAAATTAAACTATGCACAGGCCGATTCCTATTGTAATATCATTTAATTAAACCATTTTAACTCCTCAGCTAGTTTTTTCAGAGCTTTCAATAATTTAGCCCTCATTTTCATCAACAGACAGAGTTTGCACAGTTGTAATGAAGATTGATCTGCTGAGAAGTGAGTTAAGTAACTGTTATAACTTCTGATAATTGCATACTACAAAGTAAACACTATTCTATATTTTGTTCAGTGAAATAAAGCTCAAATGTGAAATGACTCAATTCCAACTCTATCCCTTTACACTTCATATTTCTATTTCTGTATGTGACCACTTATGACACAGGACACAATGCTTTACCAAAACATTATTTAATAATAAAACAGTGAAAAACACATCTGTTTTGGCTCCACATCGACTTATTATTATAAAATAATTAAGATGCTGTCACTTCACTGCTATGTACAATTATTTTTTTGTTTTTTCACTTTGTTATAATCTAATAATTTCTCAATCCATTCAAAATGTGAGTTCTGTTGAATAGATGAGTCTTATACACAGCTTTTTGAACAGCCTCAAATCAGATGTTCTGGCTCATGTTTAGTTCTAGGGACACGTGGTCCTGCACTTCAGCTTGGCTCCAGATCTGATTCCCATTACATGTCCTCTACGCTCCATTTATAGGCCGCATCCTGGACTGCCTTTTTATCCGCGATTCGAGTGTAGCGTTTCTGTTCAAAACCATTTGACCTGCGAGACAAAAACAATTCAAATTCTGTTGTTAAATATCTAATCACACATTCAACTCCATAGTTGATTTGATGTACCAGAGCAAACCTTTAATTTAAAGGTCCCATGTCATGCTTTTCCGGTTGTTACCCGTCCCCTTGTGTGTTATTTAGCTTTTTATGCATGTAAACAGTCTACAAAGTCACAAACCCTCAAAGTACACCTTGTAGCGAGTAAAACTATAACACAGAAAATACCTGTCTATGCTGCCCCAGAACGCCTCGTTGGAGATTTTTCTTTTTCAATTTTTTCCTTCTGGGGAATACGGAGGTAACAAAGTCCAATTGGCGGAGCTCCGCACACACACTCGGAGCTCAGGCTGTGAGTGTGTGTGTGTGCTCAGGCTGAGCTACGTGGTGTCTCGCTGTCTCGCAGACCCCACGCAGCAACCAGGAAACGACACCAGTAATCCAGCTCACACTGTCCGCTCCTCGAGCCTCAAAGGGCGGAGCAGCTAGCCCCGCAACGTCCCGCCAACACGGCACCCAGACCCCACCCAGCATTCTCATCTGTTTGTCATTAATGGTGTCATTTTCTGGTTGCTAACAAACGCCATTGTAAAACATAAACACTGATGTTCAGCTGTAACAGTGGTTGACTAATCAGAACAGAGTGGGCGAGCTGACCAATCAGAACACAGTGGGCTCATAGGGAGGCGGGGGGGGGGGCAGGAGCTCCAACAAGGCGTGTAGGACAGAGAGTGAATACACATACTACAGAGATGCTGCATGAGAAAACCAATGTGATTTTGGAAAATTGAACAATGTAAATCTATTTTAGTAGACCTCAACAATGGAATTATGATCAGTAGAAATGGCCATATCATGGGACCTTTAATACATAGACAATTTAGAAAGGAGACAAAGTATTAAGAGTCAATTTCATGTATCGTCTCATGGGCTTTGGTAATGCCCCGCCTGAGACTAGCGGCAGGTCCTGAGTCTATACACTCTAATGGGAAATGTAAACTCAAACCCAGATTATGACCCTTTCTTTCCATTGACCACTTTTAGTCACTCCTTCACAGACTGACAGATACGAATATCACACTGTACCTGTCGCATCCATCCCAGCGATAACCTGGTAGAAGATCGAAGCGGTTTGGAGGTGGTGGAGGACCTTTATATCTAGGTTTGTCTGCAAAGTAAAACAAGAAAAAGGTTACAATATACACTATACATATATAGAAGGGAAAAACATTTAGCATCAGTCAACCCAGAGAACAAGGTGCTTAATTTACCATGTGTGTTTGAACTGCGGTCCTTTTTCTTTCTGAGCATTGCAGCCATTGGATCTCCTTCCCTCTGCTTATCTCTCAACATGCGATCAAGATCCTCGTCGTCGCGTTGACGTGCCAGCGGCTTGTGGGCTTCATGCATCGCATCTTCAAGTTTCTGCTGATACATCTGGCCCTGAGCCATCCTTGAAATACAAATAGATTGTAATCAACTTCATGGGGTCACTATCACACTTCTCAAATGTGTGGAATGTAATGCAGACGTACCCTCTTCCCCACTGAGCATATTTCTCATCTTTTGCTGCCTTTTCTCCAGCTTTCTTTAGCTTCTCTTCTCTCTCTGTATCCAAATCCCTCCTCTTACCAGTCTTGTCTCGGAACACTGTCTGGGCATTGCGTGATTGATCTAGTAAAAGCAGGAAAATAGATATGAAAGGTCATTTCCTGAATCACTGAACTTCAATAAAACACTTAGATGTTTGGATTAAGCATAGATAGTGAAGATGATCCAAATCTGGAATATCCACTGAGTTGTTCCATAATAATAATAAAGGAAGAAGTGAGCGAACCTTCCAGTGGCAGGTTGTTTCTGTCTCTGCGTCTGTTCTCCTCCTTCTCCTTTCTTAAAACATCTATTGAAACAAGACCTGACGTCCCACCAGAGAGCATCCTTGGGACCTAAAAAGAAGACATGAACAATTGCTGATTGGGTCTGATTGTTTGCATACACTGAATTATCAAGGAATATGATGTAATATTCGGGGCAGAATGGCGCAGTGGGCTGTGCGTTTGATCATCAGATCAAGGGGGAGTGCTGGGGAACTCCAGTTCGAAACCCGCTTCCGCCGCCACTGCATCAGGCCGTTGTGTCCTTGGGCAAGACACTTCACCCGAATTTGCTCCTGTGGGTATTGTCCACAGTACATGTATGATATCAATGTGTACTTGTAAAGCGCCTGGACGTTGTGGCGCAGTGGGCTGTGCATTGATCATCAGATCAAGGGGGCGAAACCCGCCGCCGCTGCGTCTGTAAAGCCGTTGTGTCCTTGGGCAAGACACTTCACCTGAATTTGCTCCTGTGGGTATTGTCCACAGTACATGACCATTACATGTATGTCTAATATGTATGTGTATCTATAAAGCACTTTGGGTCATGGAAAAAGCGCTATACGGAATTATTATTATTAATATGACTCTTTGAACTTCTCTTTGCTCACCTGGCCAGGCCTACGAGGTGGTGACAGATCTTCATCAGAGTCCTTTCCACCACGCGGTCGCCTTCTGGGTGGCGACTGGTCAGAATCAGAGCCCCGTTTTGTTTTGTTTTTCCTCCTTGGAGGGGATTGGTCCGAGTCTGCATCTTCTCCCTTAGGCAGCTTTTTTCTTGGAGGTGACTGGTCAGAGTCTGAATTGTGCCGATTCTGAGCTCTTTTTCCCAGTGTTGATTGCTGAGAATCAGGTGAGCGTTTTTTACTTGATGAATCTGACAAAAAAAAGGTGTTGTTAAGCGAAATGTTATTATAACAAAGCACTTAAACCATATGGAGTATGTTCTTATGTGGAAGAAGTGGAGTCTTTTCATAATGACTTCTAAAAAACTGACATTTGTTCCAGCAAAATTAAAAAGAGTTTTCCATTTGACTATCAATGGCCATACATTAGACAACTTTACGGGTATTTTCCAATATATTTCAATAAACTTGATATACTGAATACAAATCTTTGAAGGTTTTCTGTTTGGTGATGTCTTTTTTATGACTTTCCCCATCTTTTTTTCTCTCTGTTTTTATCCAGAAAAATTACTCCTCATCAACCTTCTCACCTTTACTTTCTGCCTTCCCCGATTTCTTGGACTGCCTAGGAGGTGACAAGTCTGGGGAGTCATGACGACCTCTTCCTTGAGGGGACATGTCTGGGGAGTCATGATGATCTCTTCCTTGAGGGGACATGTCTGGGGAGTCATGGCGACCTCTTCTTTGAGGGGATATGTCCGGAGAGTCATGGCGACTCCTGCTTGGTGCCTCTGACTCTTGCTGTTGATTATCTTCTCCTTCGACTTCTTCTGTGTCTTCATTTTCGTCAGCTGTTGGTAGAGGAGACCCAAATTAAATAAGCCTGTTTAGCGTGGATACAATACTTATCATGGGTACGTCCACATTACCTCCAATAACTTTCCATCTATGGCTGGTTCTGAAGGCTTCCAGCTGTTTCACATCCGCTGGTCTTTCGTCAATCATCTCAGCAATCTAAGCAGGCAAACGCAAGAGGGGACATTTCAAGAGAGTGTTTGGAAAGTATCACAGAAACAGCCTATATAAGTCATCTACATAACATGGTAGACATTTGTTTAATACCTCTGCTTGTATTGAAGCATTACAGTCAGTGTGTGGCAGATCAATAAGCAGGACTTGAATTTCACAATGTTCTCAAATATTATGGATGTAACCATTAAAATAAAAGTATTGTCTGACGTCTTTGTCCCAATATAATAAGTATATCTTAATTTAAATGTAAATACATAATGAGGGTTTTAAAGTTTTTAACCCGTATTCTATGCCCCACTAATTCAAAATGACGATCATTTACTTGTTTTTTATAAAAGTGATTACATACTTTTCAAAAACATTTTCTACATTCAATTGCAGGTTTAAGACACAAACATAACAAATACGTTATAACCTGGTGATTACTTAATATCATACAATGACAGTAGTACACGGTATGTTTACATGAATAAGTCAGCGTGCTAATCACTGCATGTGAATGAATGGACACAGGCTAGCCAGCTAAATAAAGTTAGCTAACTTCTTACCACTGGAGCTTCCTCTTCGTCTTCTTCATCCTCCTCCTCATTGATCATCTGTTTCCAGTCTATGTCATCGTCCACAATTGTAAGTCTTGAAGAACGGAAGGAACAGTAAGTATAGTTATGAACACTTTTCATTCAACCAAAATAAGTTTTATGCAGCGACAGC